GCTCAATGTAATGCTGGAAAGCAGGAAACATCTCGTCTCAGACTCACCAGTGCAACTGTCTGTCCTGGAAGAACTGTGAAGGACACATCCCTGAGAATCTCCTTGCTGCAAAGCAGTAAAGAAATCTAAGAATGAGCTATGCAAGAACTCATTGAGACTGAAGTTTTAATAAAAGAAATCAACGCAAAAATAAACCAACCCATTTATGTAGCTGAAGTAAACGTTTTCAAACTCCACTTTCCCCAATTTAAAGAGAAAGCTTCCTGCATTTACTTCATCCTTCACCTGCATCAGGCAACATATAAAGACCATAAAAAACTCAAAACACATTAAAAAAAACCCCACTGATATCACCGCTGCAAATATTTACCCATCTATAAACATACCTCTTGATCTTCTTCGAAAAGTTGGAACATGTTTTCCATGTCAATAAAGGAAGTCTGGATCATTCTGCAGGGAAAGAAGAGAGAAACCAACAGTTGGCAAAAGGAACAGGAGTCAAACAGAGTGTGGTTAAACAGCTTACAGTATATTATGTGTTATCCTCCTTAAAAATACATAAAAAAGCAACATCTTTAAAACAGCAAACTATTTATAATCTAATGACTTATCTGTATTTTCTTACCTGTAGTATGTTCCAAACCAGTTGAGTGGGATGTACATTTGGATGATGTAGGTACTGAAGAGAACATAATCTCCAACCTGAGGTTAGAGTTGTTTTTATGGTCAAACTGAATTGGACAATTCCAACTAGCATTGTATTTCTTAATGTTCTGAGTATCTGTTAAACATAAAGTTCATCCACTTTCTGAAATAAGCAAATCAGCTCTCTGCCCCGCCTTTTGAAACAACTTTCTTTTAATCGGCTGCCCCTCCCAAATGAGTGGATGGGGCTGTCTGAGATAAGCATATTAGCGATATACTAAGGATTTACTTGCACAGATGATGATTCTAGTATTTGAAAGTTTGGGCATGTTCATTATCAGTGTCTACCAACCTAATGGCTTATGGAAATGTGGACAAGCATAGTGTGTGCCATTATTACAAAGTCAATACCTGAAACTTGCCCTCTGTGACAAAGTATGCACAGAGCAAGGAGCCTGCTAGCAGTCCTAATCCAATGACGACATTCTGGGTTTGATTGAGCAAGGCCAGAGATGCCTGCGCCCTCCACTCTGAAGCCTACAAACAATCAGAAACATGAGTCAAGACTTCAAAATATAGACTTCCAATATACAGCTACTGGTATCTTTGCAAAAATGTCTTATTCTCTGATGCTAACAAAAGCTAAGAACCATTAAGTACACAACTCCAGAACTGAGACCACTAAATAAAACACTTTTGTCCAGATCAGACAACAAGTGTAAGTTTTGTTTTTGGTGAAATTATGCTGCTGCTTTTCTGATTTTTATCAGTATGTTCAAGGACCCCTGATGGCAGCACGTTACAT